TAAGCAGGCACTAAGCCTTCTTAGAAGCAACTACTACTTCTTAGCTTTAAAATGAGCTAGCCCGATTAGGAATAGCTCTAATATCCACCGAGTTATACTAGTTTAAAAACTAGAACTTTTAGTAACACGTTTTTTTCATGTCACCCCTCTGTATATGAAACATGCAACCAAGAGCACAGTTGCCCAGTCGCCCAAATGGACAAAAACATCATGAACCAACACGAGCATGAAATAGTTCAAGTACCAACCGCAAGTCACTAGCTCTAGCAAGATGCCTGTAATGGGAAACACGCCCAAAGCCACTCTGCAGGTCAATGATGCTTCTGCTCTCCTGGAGTGTACGGAGATTGTTATAGATCTGAATGGTGTTGCGCCCAATACTGCTGGAAGATATCTCCTTGCAATTCCTCCTCCGTCGTAAGCGAGGGGATAATTTCTGTGTTGGTAAGACATATCCCCATCGGAGGAGCAGGCTGCTCCAGCGTATTGTCATAGTCAGGCATACTGTAGCCGGCAAAAGGCTGGATACGTTGCTGGTTGTCTCTAGCCATTGTATAATTGGCATTGTCCAGCTGTTGGGATGTGTCGAATGAAAAGTCAGAGTGAGGTGCACCTTGCCACCCGCTATAGCTGTGGGCTATGGCCGCTAGCCTCGCATCACCTGGTGTACCCGCCTCAGGTATGGTCCCGGGTGAGATTGGCAGAGGGGAGAAGGGGGGTTGTTGCACCACTGGCATAGACGCGACGCGATAGTGGCTTTCCTGTCGAGGAGTCAGAGGAGCCTGCCTCGATGATGTCGCCGACGCCAAAGCGATAGTTCCTTGGTGGCTAAAGGTACCGCCATGTGAATAAGGAGAAAACTGAATGGAAGGTTCCTGTGCGGCTGACCTTGATTCTGGAGGCCTCTCCATAGCCGGCTGGCAATGTGGCCGGTACTGCTCCCGAGGGAGTGAGCTTTGCGACAATCCAGACTCGGTCAACAGTGAACGCTGCGGTGCCTGTTTACTTTGTACCGTGTTCCTCCGCTTCTTTGACGGACGCGATTCACCTTCTGCGCCTTCGTTGCTTTTTGCATTTGGTCGCTTGCTGTTCCCTATGCGATTTTGATCCTTGCGCTTAGCGTACGCCTTGGGTGCGTTTACAAACATCCGTATCTGCCAGGCAGAACTCATGACGTTCTCGCAAATCGATTTTTCTTGCTGTAGTGCAGCAATGATGTTGTCTAAGCATTGTAAAATCAGTCTCCATCTCTTTGGAATTGCAATCCGCTCTTGAACTTACCTAAACGGCCTGCACAGTCAACGTCCTTGTCGTCATCTTCACCCTTTCTCTCATCGTTCACATAGTCATTTTGGTTCCAACCTCGAAACCCCTTTTTGACCTGTTCAAGCAAGCAATCAAATACCTTGTGAGCACATGCTTCGACGAGATCCGACGAGTAATGTGGCTCGCGAACCCATCTCTTCAAAGCGGTAGACTTTGCGTTGTCCCGTGCAAAATCTCCACAAACCATGGCGTTGTATATGCGTTCTACATGGAAATCACGGTTGTGTTCCGTCTCCGCGATGGTAGGGTCACTAGCGGGATCTCTCCATGGCTTTCTTCCAAAACGCATTTTATCACGGCGGTATACTTTTGCGTCTTCCGAGGTTCGGAATCGGCCAAGAAACGGACCGTAGTGCTGACCTGGAATATGTGGAGGTGCACTGCTGTGTCTTGACGAGGGTGGCGGGGCAGAGAGTATGGGAGCAAATGAGGGCTCTTCGCCAGAGAAGGATCTGCGATGAAACATGTACGGCTGACAAGACTCATTCCTTGATTCGTGGCCTAGGAGGTGCGGACCAATGCGTTCAATGCAGTTTCCTAGGCCTTGTGGAAGAGTGATGTCTATCCCAGGAGCTGACTGCGATGTTTCCACAAAAGAATCCCTATCAGGAACCATTGGTTCATTCTTCTCCAAGCTGGTGTTCGCCATGCTGGATTGGCCGACCTCGCTTGCATCTCCAAATTGTTGACTGTGAGAGTCACGGTATCTATGCAAGGTGTCCCAGCCGTTGGTGTCTTTTATCGCTTCCTCCATATAACCCCGTGGTTCATCGAAAATGGAAGCATAAAGACATTGGCTGGTAGATTGGTCGGCTGACTTGTCGGTATCTCTCTCCAGCAAAGGCCCTGTGAAGCCTATAGTTTCCCTCATGTAGTGTGTTTTGCTTCCTTCAGGCCTGCACTTGTCAACCTGGTACGGAGACTTCAATGATATATAGAGAGGAGAGAATGATAGCGTTACTGACAAGATAGTATGTCGATTCGAATTCTGTAACTTAATGCGGGTATGGGTCGTGCTCTGTCAACAGGCGTACATCAATTGCACAGGGAAGCAATTTATATCAAATGGGCAAACGTCTATAAGGAACCACTCATTGGTGCTCTGTGCTTGGACTTCGTGGGCATTGATGTTGTTCAGTATCCCTCGTGATTTGTCCATGCGTTAGCGGTCGCGTGTGTCACTACGATCGAGGTGTCGTTCGCAACAGCGGCCTTGGACCTATGCAGCGTTTGACGTTTGCATCATGTGCAATTGAATAGATGTTTGCAGTCTTTCTAGAGCCAACATCACACGCCTTGCATGCTGTGACTCGTTTCCCTGTCCGACAGTGTTCACGGCTTCACGTGACTGAAGATCAAACCTTGTTCAATTCTAGCAAAGCATTCAGCTGAGCATGTCGTTATCGCCTGTTCGATTTCATTCGGCTACCTGCTCCTGACTCCGCATCCGAATAGTTCACGTAAGGCTGCCGACATGAAAATTGGCTCTAGGGAGTAGACCTGATCCTAAGACTGAAGATGAATTCGGACGCTTGAGTGATGAGAGAGAAATTGAAATCTTTGCCTTGGAAGCCATGGCAAGGGAGCCTTTAGCCCTTCATAATGAAAACGTGGCGCGGAGTGTCGGTTGTTGAAGGATTTGCCGTCAATTTACTCAAAGCCTCTAGGCGTCATGTTGGGGGCAATAGTCGGCACAGTCAAACTACCGACAGGCTACAGGTATATTTCGATGGATATCTCTTCACAGCCGCAGTGGCGAGCACGTGTCTACTGTGCCTTTATCCATGAAGTCCTACAAGCCAACCCGCTTCTACGGCTGCCCCATAGTGTGGGTACATTACATATAACAAGTCCATGTACGGGTGCGCTCATTATGGCCTCAGATCAGTTTTCCGGACTACTTGCATGCAACTGTCCAGTTGGAACAAGACGACAACTGGGTTGCACACCCAGCTGTAGCCATTGCCCCGGGCTTTGCTACGAGAAGCAGGACGGATTTTATGCTGTCGTTGTAGTATCACGCAATCCTTATGGAACAGTTATGAGGGCAGTGTAGTAGACCATGGCGTGATGACGTACTAATTGCACGTGCGGCATTCCGCTTCTTGTCATTAATTCCGCGCCCTGCAGTGCCGGGCTGTCTTCCCCGCATTGTTAGCAGGTATCATGATCTAGGAGCCCCATAGTACTTACCTTGTGTAGCAAGTGGCACATAGACAAGGCAATGTAAAAAGCCATAAATCGACCGCCCTTGATGTACTGATTGTTGGCATGCACACCAGATTCTTTCCCATGCCTGTTGATATCCACAGCAATACGGAACGTCAGTGGCCATCATGATTTCCACCATCATTGTAGTTTTGTCCTCACAACTGGCCGATCATCCAATCCGATCCCTCGTCCTCGCATCGATTTTAATTCCCGCCTTGTACATCGTCAGCAATGAGTATACTAGATACTCTCGACGCATCAAGGGATTTTCTGGACCAAGAAACTGGCCACTGGTGGGCAACATTCCCGATATCAAGTACAACGCGGCGGAAAAGTACCGCGAATGGAGCAAACAGTTTGGTGCAGTGTACCAAATCCAGCTTGGTAATGAGCCAGTGATTGTGGTAAACACTGCGGAGGCTGCAAGAAAATTGTTTGGCGGCAACAGTCAAGCGCTAAGCTCAAGGCCTGTTTTCTGGACTTTTCACAAGGCAAGTTGATCAAGCATGGGCCAAGACAAGTTGACTGAGTGATATAGGTACTTTCCAACACTGCTGGCACGACGATTGGTACCTCGCCCTTCAGCGACTCGCTCAAGCGCCGGAGAAAGGGCGCTGCGTCTGCGTTGAATAAGCCCTCCATCGCAACGTACATAGGCCATCTTGACCTAGAGACGAAGGAATTTGTCAAAGATGCTTTCGAATCAGGCAAAGCTGGAACGGGGAGTGTGGACCCAATGCCTATGATTGAGCGTCTATCTCTCTCACTTGCATTAACACTCAATTGGGGAACTAGAATGGGCAGTCGGCATGACCCCATGTTCCACGAAATCTGTGAAGTCGAGGCCGCAATTTCAAAGTTTCGCAGCACTACTGGAAACCTGCAGGATTACATTCCCATACTAAGGCTGAATCCTTTCAGTTTCGGTACGAGGTCGGCAAAAGAGTACCGTAATCGCAGAGATGTGTACTTGACCAAACTGAACCGCGACCTGGACGAACGCATGGCCAAGGGTGTCCATAAGCCATGCATCCAAGCAAACATTATCCAAGACAAAGATGCGGCGCTGAACAAGGAAGAACTGACATCGATCAGTTTAACGATGCTGTCTGGAGGGTTGGACACGATTACGACACTGGTCCAGTGGAGTGTGGCACTGCTTGCCCAGAGACCAGACATTCAGGAGAAAGCGATTCGAGAGATACGGCAATTCTATTCTGAGAGCGAGCCTCTAGCGGATGCGTATGATGATCAGAAGTGCGGATACATTGTAGCGCTAGTACGAGAGTGCTTGCGATACTATACCGTCCTACGCCTGGCACTTCCGCGGGCAACGGTCAAGGACGTGATGTACGACGGCAAGCTCATTCCGGCAGGCAGCACGATATACCTGAACGCATGGGCATGCAACATGGGTAAGTTGTTTTGTGAGACGAAGAAGGAGAGGGTAGCGGGCAATGCTGACTTTGCCATTACGTAGACGCAGATGTTTGGAGCGACCCAGACGAATTCCGGCCAGAGCGCTGGCTCGAACAGCCCGACGCGCCGCTGCACACGTACGGGATTGGGTACAGGATGTGTGCAGGCTCGTTGCTGGCAAACCGCGAACTGTACCTAGTGTTTTTGAGGATGTTGAACAGCTTTGAGATTGTGCAGGACTCGGAGGTGGATGTGCACCCGGTGCGAGGCAGCGCAGACCCGACCAGCCTGGTGACAATGTGCCGAGCGTACAAGGTCGTGTTTAAGCCACGGAACGAGCGGATGCTGCGCGAGGCCTTGAGGGCGGCAGACGAGCGATTGGCGGAGTACGAGAAGGCGTGAGGGTTGGGTGCATGGAGTTGGGAGATGGGTGACGGTAGTTGGTTGGGAGTCGCGATGGTAGTAATACGTATGTATGTAGTATGTATGGCCCTCGTACCCAACCAACTAATAAGTACACGAGTGCTTGTGTACTTGCATGGTATGTAGCGTATGGAAGTACAGAGTATGCACACATTGCCCCACCCTAACCGGCAGCACGCCCCGGCCCACCTTGCACGTATCCTCCCTCGTCCATGATAGCCGATACTGCTTATTTCTGACCTGTGTACACCCGTACCGTATGTGCACACATGCGTAGTGGCAGCACCGTGGCACGAGTCCATCTGCGCCGTCGCGTCACCCCAAACCTTGCTACACGCGCATTCCCGTCCAACATGATGCCCGGCGTCTCTGCGCGGTAGAAGGCGACACCATGTTCAGAAACACGATGCTGGCCGGCGACGAGGAACTGGGCAAGAAGGACGACGACCGCCGCTTCAGGCCAGCGCGCAAGCCCGGCTGGCCCGCATGGAGCCACCCATTGCGCTGGCGACGGCGGCGCACTCTGCTGGCCGTGACGGGCCTGCTGTTACTCTACTATCTCTTCCACGCCCCTGCCGACGACTACCATGGCGGCCTGGCGCAGCAGCAGCAATACCCCTCGGCCCTGACCTCGCCCATGACCTCGACGTACCAGAAGCCGAGCGCAGACGACGACGACGACAACGACAACGACAACGACGAGCCTACCGGCCCACCGCCAGGCGTGCGCAAGCCCAAGCGCGGTGACGCTACACCTCATGTATATGATGGACAGGTCCGCTTCTTCCGCCTCGCCAGCTCCTTGCGATCATCGGCCTCGTCGACGGGCGGCTATGACCAGGACAACAGCAACGTCCTCTTTGCCCTGTCGAGCCTCAAAAGTACTTCGGTGCTGCTGTCCCTGGCATGCGACATGTCCAAGTGGAACAGGAACCACGTCCATGTAGCCTTCATGGGAAGGGACGACATCCCCCTGGACGACCTGCTGCAGATCAATGGCATAGACAAGACGGCGTGCCCCGCTGTGTGGCACGATGCGCGCCCAGACTATGCAGAGTACGTTCCGTCCAGCTTGTACGACCGCTCCACGGGCTTGCCGCTGACATAGCATCTACAGATATAGCACAGATGCGCGCGCTGAGCTGGCCGTGCAAGGGGCTCTGTCGCACATTAAAGCCTTCCTTCACCCCCAGGCTGCTTTCTGCTATGACGCGCTGTCAGAGGACGCCTTCTTTGTACGGGCACTGAAGACTAAGGCCAGTGCACTGCACATGCCTCTCATCCAGGTGCCCAAGGACAGACTCGACGACTTCACGTGGGTCACCAGACTCGACGCCGGCTCACTGAAGCGATGGCATGACCCGGTCGTAGACATTTTGATACAGGTACCGCCACATTCTTCGAGCGTCATGCGATTGCTCAAGTCGATCAAAGACGCTGATTACAGCGGCCTGAGACCGCCTCGCATCATCATCGAGTTACCGGCTGAGCTCGACGCGTCTGTGAAAAAGCACATGGAGAAGTTTGAGTGGCCGCCAAACGGCAACGAGCACGGCCTCGGAGGCGGACTCACCATCAGGCGGCGCATCGCGGACAATGGCCACAGCCAGCAAGAGTCGGCGATACGTTTACTGGAGCTGTTCTACCCTGCGAGCACCACTAACTCGCACGTGCTACTGCTTTCTTCCCAGGCCCAGGTCGCCCGGCAATACTTTCACTTTGTCAAGTACACGCTCTTGGAATACAAGTACTCTGGATATGGCGCTCATGACTACGGTGATCTGATGGGCGTAAGCCTCGAGCTGCCACCGATGCTCTTGGACAACAAGGCAAGGCTGGAACCCCCAGGGGTTGGTGATATGAACACAAATCGATATAAGAAATTGTTCCCAAAAGCCGAGAGCGCACCATTCTTATGGCAAGCTCCAAACAGTCATGCGACACTGATCCTGGGCGACAAGTGGGCCGAGCTGCACTCGTTCCTGAGCAAACGAGTGGCCAAACATCAAGGTTCAGTCAAGCAAGCAACTCGGAAGAAGCTGGTATCAGAGACGTTGCCAGCCTGGACCGAGTATATGCTCGAATTCATGCGAGCCCGGGGCTATTCACTGCTGTACCCCGCAGTCATGTCTGATGCACTAGTTACAATACACAACGAGCTATACCATCCTCCAGAGGAGTTTAGTATGCCATCGACAGTTGCCAATGAGCAAACACCCACAATAGAAAAGGAAGAAGCCTTTGTTCGCGCAAAAGAACCGCCGCGGGTGCTCCACCACGCAGAGCCATCTGCCATGGCTGATGCAGTGCCTCTCCACCAAGCCCTGCCCTTTAACGGCGATCTTCCCGAAATTCCCCACCTACCACGATTGCTTTACAACGGCCAGCACATCCCAGCTGCCAATGTGTCGGCGATTGCACAAGCGTATGCCGACGATTTCCGCCAAGAGATTGGTGGCTGTCAGCCGGTAAAAGGGAAGCACAGGAAGAGGATCGAGGGTGAGGCAGGCGATTTATTTTGCTTTGGAAACGAGGACAAGGAGGACTGGGAGGAAGATGAGAGCAGAGAGGCGGAGATGTTCAATGCACCCATTGACGACCAGCTGGAGAAGCTGCTCCAAGTGGATGGACTGTCAACCAAGACGGCATCAGCAATGAATCATGCGAGCACAGGGACCGCCAAAGTATCTGATGACCACGTTAATGGCGATGATAATTTTTAGGGCAAAAAGCCCAGTGTTATTATGTGTATCAATAACCATTGTTACTATTCTCATTATGATTTTGCTGTTATTGTTGCGGTTAGATTCTCATCTTGTGTAGGTAGGCAATGCAGGACTAGTACTACTATCTACTATGCGTATGTAGCAGTGTACTATGCAAGCAGTTGCATGTGTGGTGGTGCAAGTGGCGCGGGTGGCGCAGGTGGCGAGCGGGACTCGGAAGGGCTCGGCGCCATGCCCCATTCGCCATGACGCTTCGGCAGGGCTGGAGATTTTTGGATCGAGAATCTTCATCCATGTCGGCCGCCGTCTTGCCTTCACTTACTTACATGCCGCCTCTCGCCTCTCCTCTGTGTGCGCAATACGTCCGATTCATATCCTGGCGTTGAAGCATCTTGGGGTTTCCTTTTCTTTTCTTTCTTCTGTTCTTTCGGCGTCCATTTTGTTTAGATACCCACACCCCTCCCCAGTACACGCTTCAAGACGACTGTAGCCATTGGGCACGATGCTTACGCGGGCAGCCGGACGCAAACTGCGCAGAGATGCCTTTAGGACGCCCACAACTCTCTCCGACCAACTGACGCTGCCATGGCTGTGTCCCGCCCTGTCACGAGCGCATTCACAGACGCCTTCGATGGCTGCACGACGCAGCGCACACGACTCGACAACACGACGTCGACAACGTCGCTCGTCACTATCCACCCCCCTCTCTTCTTCAATCTCTGCTACCCTCCCTACGGCCGTACGTCATGACGCACGCTCACTCGCTACGACGGCCGAATTGCAGCCCCCGCCGCCCTCGTCGCTTTCCTTCAATCCTTTCACCCAAGCCTTTGGCCGTCATCCACCTCACGCAGACCTCGCCCGCCTACCGCTATGGGATGTTACCGACCCACTGGTCGTTCACGATTCACTGGCCTCGATGCCACAACTTCGAGCCGTTCCTGGTGTCGGGAGCGATCCTACCGAGCTACATCAAAACCTATATGCCTGTCTACGGGTCGGTCGTGTGGATCGTGCCGCTGTAATTATCAAGCGACTCATGACTCTATACCGACCAGATGCACCCGAAGTGATTGACGCGCACAATGTCTACCTCCAAACCCTTTTGGACTTGGGCCAATACGATGCCAAAGCCTCGGCAATGGAAAAGGTACAGACTTGGTACAAAACCAAGATGCTGCTCCAAGGCGTTAAACCCAGTGCGCAGACATTTGTCACTCTCATACGTTCCGCAATGCACTTCCTCGACGACAGCGCCGCAGAAGATGCCGTCCGGGCATACATTGCTACTGCGCGCGAGTATGGCGAGCACGTTGTTGACAGCATTAATGCTTCACCCGACTTTTCCGACGAAGAGTGGGATCTTTTGATTCGTCTACAGCCCGAGTCATTCAACGAGCCTCCGTCGGTTGAGCAAGTTCAACATCTCCATGTCAGCACACCCGCCGGCCGCACCAATCTTATCGCCCATGGCCTAATACCACATCCAGCACAGCAAATCAAGCCTGTCAAGCAGAAGGGCATGGGTCTGGACTCGCTGAAACAGGCACTCAATGTCTTTGATCATGGAGACTGTGTCCCCTACCCACACGACATGGAGGGTACGCAAGAGGAGAAGGATCAAGCATACGCCTACGCACGACAGATTCAGATGGAGCAGGATGGAATGGAAGCCGCTGTCAAGAGATGGAAAGCCGAGGATGAGAAAATGCAGGAAATTGGCATCCATGGCGTCATGAACAAGAAGTCTATTCAAGCCATGATGTATGGTTGGTACACCGCCCTAGTACCATTGTTCAAGAAGCGCATTGAGCATGCCAAGCAAGTTTTGCTGGAACCTCCAAAGGCCACAACGCGGGACGACGCCCATGAATACGGTGTTTGGCTAGAGCGATGCAAACCTGAGAAACTAGCGGCTATCACCGTTGCCCGTACCACTCAATCTTCGGTAAAAGGCAAAGGAGAAGACAGTTCTGCTCTCAAGATAGCGTCCCTGTCCATCGCTGTAGGTAACGACATTGAGGACTATCTCAATGCCGAAGCCCAAACTCGCCGAGACACTTTTCTCAAAAAGCAGCGTAAACAAACCCGTCTGAACTTGGTCAGCACGCTTGCCAAATCAGATTCGGCATCATCCACAGAAAAAGAAATCCAAAGTGCGAAGACTAGCATGTTTGAGTTTGAGAGGGTTAACATGCCCATCTCGGCTCGGACGAAGCTTGGTGCTATGTGCATCGAACAGCTACTTCAGTCAGCAACTCTTGTGGTGACGGCGAAAGATCCGAGAACCGGCAAATCAGTCTCACGTAGCATGGCTGCTTTTCACCACCAGGTTGGATTTCATCAAGGCAAAAAGCTTGGTTTCCTGGTGCCACACCACGAGCTCATGGCCAAGATGCGTACTGATTCTGTTCATAGCATTCAAACGGTCCGGCTGCCCATGGTAGTTGAACCCAAGCCTTGGTCAAGTTTTGAAGATGGTGGATACTATACTGTGCCACAGAAGATTGTTCGTCAAAAAGGTGGTGATAGTGCTCAGCGGGCGTACGCTCAGCTGGCCATAGAGAACGGTGACATGTCCAAGATAATGGCTGGCCTTGATGTTCTAGGAAAGGTTCCCTGGCAGATCAACGCTCCTGTCTTCGATGTAATGGCTCGTGCTTGGAACGCTGGTGAGAGCATTGGATCTCTAGTTGGTGAGGACGCCATCACAAGTCTCAAGCGCCCCTCTGAACCTTCTGCGGAAGCTTCATTCCAAGAACGATCACGATGGAACAAGGCTCTTCAGGAGTATGAGGACACAATTGGTGGCCTTCATTCTCAACGGTGCTTTCAAAACTTCCAGCTTGAGACTGCTCGAGCGTATGCCAACGAGAAAAAGATCTACTTCCCTCACAGTGTGGATTTCCGAGGCCGGGCGTACCCAATACCACCTATCCTTAACCACATTGGCTCGGATCTCTCAAGAGGTCTTCTTAAATTTGCACATGGCAAAGAGCTCGGTGCTGTTGGCTTGCAGTGGCTGAAGATCCATCTTGCCAACTTGTACGGTTTCGACAAGGCAAGTTTGCGAGAACGCGAGCAGTTCGCTATGGACCACATGAGTGAGATTTGCGATTCTGCAAGTCAGCCCCTAGAGGGACAGCGATGGTGGACCAAGGCCGAAGATCCGTGGCAATGCTTGGCATGTTGCATTGAATTGAAGAACGCTTTCGACCTACCTGATCCGACCCGCTATGTATCACAACTGCCCGTTCATCAGGATGGAACCTGCAATGGACTCCAACATTACGCAGCCTTGGGCGGCGACCATGCTGGCGCTCGCCAAGTCAACCTTGAGCCTTCAGATAGACCTCAAGACATCTATACCGGTGTTGCAGAGCTAGTAAAAGAGATGGTTGCTAAAGATGCCAGCAAAGGACTACCTGTTGCGAACTTCATAGACGGTTACATTTCTCGAAAGGTCGTCAAGCGGACGGTCATGACGAATGTGTATGGTGTCACGTTCATGGGAGCGAAGCAACAGGTCCAAGATGAACTTCGCAACCTTTTCCCCCATTTCCAGCCCACGGACAAAGTGAAGTCACTCGGAGTCGTCGCTTTGTACGTCGCGCAAAGAATTTTCGAAGCATTGGGAAAGATTTTCAACGGCGCACAGGAAATTCAATACTGGCTGGGTGAATGTGGTGATCGTATCACAACCTCGATCTCTGCCGAACAAATCAAACGGATTCAGGAACGATTTGAGGGAACGGATCCTGCGGTGGCGCTATACGATCCAAAGTTTGCTGCCCCCAAAAAGGTCACTACGCTCCAGATCAACAAGCTAAACAAGAATATGGAGAAATTCAAGACTAGCATCATTTGGACATCCCCGCTCAAGATGCCTATTGTGCAGCCGTACAGAAAAGACACTGTCCAGAAAATCAGAACCAAGATCCAGGACATCACCGTCTCAAAGAAATCACAGCAGGATGAGGTTGACAAGCGTAAACAACTGCAGGCATTTCCCCCCAACTTTATTCACTCTCTAGATGCCACCCACATGACGCTGTCGGCGTTGAAAGCCAATGAAATGGGTCTCGATTTTGCGGCTGTACATGACAGTTTCTGGACACACGCATCTGATATCCCAAACCTGAACATAATCCTTCGCGACGCATTTGTACGCATGCATAGCGAGGACATCATCGCTCGTCTTGCTGCAGAGTTCTCTGCACGCTATGCAGGAGCGATGTATCGCGCCACTGTTGTCAACAATTCAGAGGTCGGACGGAAGATAATCAAATGGAGGATGGAAAATCGAAGAACTGGAGGAAAAGCCACAAAAGTTAGTGGGTTGGCCCGAGCGGATGCTACATTCGAAGAAATTGCATTGGAGGCCAAGCGGCAAGAGCTACTAAAGAGCGGAGACCCCAAGCAAAGAAAAGAAGGTGAAGAGATGGAGACACCCACCAGTATATGGCTCGCGAACCAGGATCCGAAGGCACTTCATTCTTTCCGTCTCCAACTGCTTGGTGAAACAAAGGAAAACGAGTCAGCAGAACGGCAAACGGAGATCAGAGACGATGTTCTGGATGGGATAGCAGAGCCTTGCATCACTACTGAATCAACCATGCATCTTGTTGAAGATGGTGCAGAAGATCTTGGAAAAGATCCTGAGAGTGGCGGTCTTCATGGGAAGAAGAAATCACCATCCCGCATTGCTGCCGATAAGAGCACGATTCAGGTCTGGGTTCCTTTGGAGTTTCCTCAAATCCCTAAGAAGGGTGGCTGGGACGTTTCTCGTCTTCGAGAATCAAAATACTTTTTCTCTTGACTAAGTCCCGCACTTCGAGGCGATGCGGAGCGCGAGTTTTTTGCCCCAAGCGACCACGCGCCAATTGCTGCGACGGAGCAGATTCGCAGAATTAGCAGGCTGTTCAGGCTAGAAGGTGAATGCGGATGGCACATCGAAATCAATCATCTGGCGTGGTGGAGGGAGGCCCATCCAGATAGTTCGACCAACGCTGGCAGAAAGAGGAAAGATGGTGAGAAGAGAGGCAGAAAGCAGAAGAATTGTTAGATGTGTTCTTCATTTATCTAGATCATGTATCGTAGTTACGTGCATCATGTGTATCATACGTAGTTAGTACCTTTAACTTATGGAACTGTATATGCAGTGTATCCTGAAATCAATTACACCCAACCATAAGAGCACAGAACCAGCAATTTTCTCGATTTACATAGTTTGTACTAGCTATCAGTGAACGTGATAATATGTACATACGCAGGTCACGGAAAATCGCTAGCATTTTGCAGGAAGTAGCCGAGATAGTACCGTTTCCCTGCATAGGACATAGAGAAAGTGTCCGTGCATTTAACTAATTTGAATCCAGAAAGAGGACATATTTATGTCATACGAGACGGAGTAAGTCCAGGGGTCAAAAAGTGTTCGTGATTGGCAAGATACTGGACCAATGTCGTCGCGTTGCCTAGTTACCACTGGAACGCAACTGTAAATCTGGGTTTTCCTGCGCTCTTCTTAGCTCCGAGAAATGGGGGTTTATGATTCTTGTTTATATTGCGGAGTTTTAAGCCTTCCACATGAATCCGAAATGTGCGTATGGCTGCTCGAGCTGCCGGACCAGTGAAGGTTGCGAAGATATTTGCCGTTCGGCTATCCCGGGACACGAAGGAGGGGGGCGAGGGAGGGGCCTTCTCGAAAGGCTAGAGCGTCATACTAGTGATTTGTGGCGGTACTTTGGATGCAGATGCGGTAATGATCAACCAAGTCACGTATCTTGTAACCGTAATCACTCTACTCTTCTACAGTATCTATGTACTATGTTAGCGTCTTGGTACTGGATTTGATGCATGTCGGCGAGGGTTTGCTGTTTGGTTTCCATCATCAAATCGAACCCAACGTTAAGAACGTACTGGTGTAGTATACCATGGGTACTATATCGGTCAGTAGTGAAACGGCTGGTCACGTGATTTCTATCAAGCGGATAGCCACTCTTTACAGATGAAGTTAAGCGACTTTGAATTGGTGATACGGAACTTGCAACAACTTGCTTGAGATGAACAAGTGGTCAGTGGGATCTATGATGCAACATGGATTTGTACACTCTATTTTGTATACATGAAGGGCTTCTTATGAATGGTGCAGTTGCTGAATTTCTACGATAATTTTTTGCCCTAGTCAGGGAACAACGTCGGCTGTAAGATTCCTACATGCATCTCCTGTCCGTGCACTTAAGGGAAGCTTGTATCCGACGTCCATCAGCTAGTGTCATTGAATCTTGGGAGTGTGATTGGCAGGAAACACGCGAATCTCAGAATCGCCTGATGTGGGTGGTCGTTCTGTCTTGGGTCTTGATTACTAGTACTACTTAGCGGCAATTACCCCGGTCTCATGTCAGCACCGGCGTCCTCCTTTCTCGGTCGGCCCGGCTTGTCAGATCACCATGGGATGATGGGTGCATCAGGCACCGGGCATAGCTTGGCAAGGTGACTGCAAAACAGCTGTTGACAAGCACATTATGTGACTAATTTTTGAGGCAAGGAATTTTGACTAGTGACAAGGCAGTGGCTCGCCTACTTCAAGGAGATAACAGCCTTGCAGTCTTGTGACCGGAAAGCATCCTCACACAAGTGCTATCGTACCTTCACTGTTACTGACACTAAAGTTGAAAATATACACAGATGGCCTATGCTCGAGATATCAGGGTGCGGCTCGGATGATCCGAACACCGCCACATGATCTAGACCCGTCTGTGTTCAGGGAGCCATGTGCATACTAAATATACGCGACCCATTTCTGCCAAGATTCGGCAGATCTAGCAATGTAGACATCCCTAGTGTAGTCTTACAAAGAGCATACTCCAGTAAGCTTTTGACTAAAGAGTATAGAATGACCGTCTGTGCTAACTCAAGAAAATCATTGCCCCGCTTTTGGGCAGTTAATCCGAACTGCTAATACAACTGCCGACGATTCTAGAACTTGGGCTATAGTATGAAAATATGCGCATATAAGCCTTATAAAGGTATGTTGAAGGGCAAGAACCATACCACCTTCACCTTTTCCACCACATACTTCAGCCTTCCATTGGAGCAGATTGTCGTCATATTTCAGTTCTGATCCTAGTGCAAATTACGACATTATAATAATGCCAGCCCACATTGTGGTCCGAAGACCGGTAGAGAGACTTCTGCAGACAATGCCTGGATCTAGCCCGTTACGAAGGCTAGGGACAATGGTCGATTTCAGAGGTTCCACGATGCCACCTGGTTACAGAGCTACAGTGGGATATCTCCAGACGTTTGAACTTCCCGAGTCTCTCAGTGGAAATGCAGCGGATAAGGCTTTGGGAAAGAGTATGATTGATGCTTGGAGGAAAGACGGTATTCTACAAATCTCTATGGACCCCATCAACCGCAAGCTCGCTGATGCAGCGTTTCTTTGCAGTAAGAAATTCTTTAGTCTGGACTACAACCAGAAGGCGTCTTGCCTAGATGATCAGTCTTTCGCTGGCTACATTGCGTCCGGAGAAGAGATCACGGATAACATCGCTGACTATAGCGAGATCTTCACAGTCACTAAAGATCTTGCATTGTCTGATTTGCGTGTTCAGCAGAAGTGGCCATGTCATGGACCTTGCCCATGGCCATTTGGTCAGATGAAGACTGTCATGCAAGCTTACATGGATTACCTTGGTGAGAGTGGCGAGAAGATGCTGCAACTCATCGCCTGGGGGCTTGGTATGGAGGATGGCAATGCCCTTACAAGGTATACACAAGACGGCTGGCACCACATGCGCATCTTGCGTTTCCCTGAGGCTAATAACGTAAATGGTAAGGGGAAAGCCGGACGCGGAATCGGCTCGCATACCGATTACGGGCTACTTGTGATTGCCGCCCAAGATGATGTCGGGGGCCTCTTCATCCGCCCCCCGATTCAAGGTGAGACATTCGCCAACTGGAGAGAGAGTGCAGCTGGCAAGCACGAGGATACAGATGGTTGGGTCTATGTCCCACCTGTGCCTGATGTCTTCACCGTGTTCCCCGTAAGTCTGATCAACCCGCGAACGTTTTGGGAGATGTTTCTGCTGACAGGCATGCGAGGGCGATATGATGCAATACATCACCAACTCCTTCCTTCCCTCCACCCCACACAAAGTTGGCCTTAACACTCGTGAACGTTTCGCGTTCGCTTACTTTCATGAGCCAAACTTCTCTGCCGTTTTGAAGCCTCTTCCAGGTTTTGAAGTTAGAGAAGATTCTATTGGTGGAATCCACTATGGAACGCATTTTACGAAAATGTTCATGCGTAACTATCCAACAAGAGTTACCGCTGATCGAATCAGAGCTGAGGAGAGAATGGCACTGTTAGAATCGCCCAGTCTTCGCGATCTATCTCTGTAGTCTTGTATCATCTATTACCTAACTGTTTTTTCATTTCCTATAGATTGTGTCAGATTTACTATAATATAGAGAAATACCATTCTATATACTATAGTACTATTACAAAGGTTAAAGAGTCATTACTCTAATATGAAAGTATTATATATAAGGCAGACTAAAGAAATATTATAATTAGTCCACACTTATTATATAACGTGTTTCACCACCAAGTCGTTAACCTCATCAAGTCGTTAGCTCTACCACCACACTCTTTACTATTCTCTTTATTCTCTAATCTTACTTAGTAAGTATAAAAGTTATATACTATTTAGCTATAACACTTATAGTACTATATATTTTATTCTCTCTTTAAATACAATAAAATATTATTATAGCTTTGATTTTCGAAAGTAAGAATTTAATTAGATATTAAGTTAGCTATTTAAAATGACTTTACTAATATATATGTTACACGGAGTTTAGAGTGCTAATACTTGTCTAGCTTAATCTAGGTAAGGGTAAGTAGAATTAGAGTGAGCGCCGTAAGAGTTGCCTAGCAATTTATAGTAGAAAAGGGTTATAGATATAATTAGAATTCTAATAATATTAATCTATTTAATAAACTAATATTTAACTATTTTATTAAGTAAAAAATACTAGTAAGAAAGTATAATTTAAGTTAACTATAATAAGAGTAATAATAAAATTTATCTATATTTATATTCTTGCTACTTTATATTCTACTATGTTATCTATCTCTTCTTAGTAGGATAGTAGATAGTATACTACTATCTCTTTATACACCAATATCTTAAATAGCTAGTCTTAGGAAGATAGTATATTATATAATCTAAAGTCTTATTATAATTTATTACTTTTTAATATAGATATCTTTAGGCTTTTAGCTATCTACTTATTATTTATAATATTACCTCTCTCTTAAAAGCTATTAACGTGTTTCACTACCGAGCGGCGCACCCCACCGAGCAGCGCACCCCACCGAGAGGCGCACTCTAGTACTTCACCCTACCTTTATAAGTATTTTTTATAATACTACTATAATTATTCTAGTTAAGTAGAATAGAATCTTATTCTATAGACTCTTTACTATTATCTTAAATCTCTAATTCTATTTAGTAGGTATAAGAGTTATATCTAATTTAATTATAACGTTTATAGTGTTATTTATTATATACTCTTTATATAAGTATTATACTATTATTATAGTCTCTACTCTATATCTTTATAATCTATTTAGCTATCTAGCTAACTATTTTAGATCTCTTTATTTATATATAGCGCTACTAATAAGTTTTTTACTTTATTAAAATTCTAATAGTCTTTTATAAGTAATCTATTTCTTCCTAATTTAGTACTATTAAATAAGTAATTGTCGCAAAATCAAGAGGTAGAGAATTAGTGAATTAATAGATTAGTCCGATCTAGGTCGCGTGATCGTCATATTATCTAGACATCTATTAAGATTAGATATCAGAAAAGAGTAAACTAATTAAGAAAAGCTAATAATTAATAGATTTAGTTAAACTAGAAAAGAAAGTATTTAGTTTTACTAATTGTAAAGAAAGTATCGTAGAGAGGTAAAATAAATACTTTCTAAAATATATAATAGCTTATATAAGAATAAATAGAGTTAGTTATAAATAACCAAGTAGTAGATAATATAGATAATAAGTAGATTAATTATAGCTTGGTAACGATTTAACTATAGACTTTAAGCTTCTTTTATAGAAAGCTTATAGACTTAACTAACTTCTAAGTGTATTTAATATTTATAAATAAAATATTAAGGAATTTAATTAAAGCGCTTAAATCTGTAATTTATAATACTTATAAGCGTTTTATAAGCTATTAATAATATAAGATAAATTAAAAGATTAGAAATTAAATTCTTAATTTAAAATTAAGCATAAAAAAATACATAGTAGTTAATAACTTGCTTAAAACTCATAGTAGTTAATATCTTTTAACTAATTTATGATCCTTAGTGTATATAGAAGTTTGCTAGATTATTTAATAGTACGATTATTATAATAGTAACTAAAAAATAAGATAATATATAAATTAAGTTGATAAACTTATATAGCCTCTTAATTTATATAGTATTCGTAGTTTTTATAAACTAAAGCTATTATATTTCTATTTTCTTTTATTCTAGTATTTTATTTTATAAAGATATTATAGGTTAAACTATAACCTTATATAAGTTAATATTTTTACTTTTTCTATAAGTTATAGCTCAATACTCTATAACTAAGAATTATTGAAGTANAATANNANNNANTTTATATTNTNTNNTANANANAATACTNNANNTNNNNANGGGTTAAAAACCTAAGTATAAATAAATTATGTTAAATAACTTATTTATTCTTTAAATTTAACTAAACTAACTCTACTAATAAATTCTTGAAACTTATTTATATTAGTAGCTTTAGTTAAATTATTAGTGAAGATTATTTTGATATTTTTATATACTAAATTGATATTATTTTCTGTTAGATTATCTCTCATAAAGTAATAGGTAATATCTAGGTATTTTATTCTAGTATAATAAATTAAATTTTTAGCTAGGTTAATAGTACTTTAGTAATCTATTTATATAATAGTTATTATATTAAAGATTTCTTTTAAATCTTTAGTAGAGTTATAGCTAAATAATT